TAAGAAATAGCTAGTTGGTGACATGGAAGTGACGAGAACCTTATGGGAAAGTGACTCATCCTAGAGCATAAAATTTTAAACCCAGTGGATATAATTAGAGATTTTAGAAAAGTGAGTATCAGAAACTTCTCAGAAAGGATAGGTATAAATTCATAGCTCTAAAAAAAAGTTTTAGAAATAAAAATTTAGCATGGTAATTACAAATTGACCTGAAAGTGATAGATTGCAGAAGGATAACATTTGAAACACGTAATTTGGGTCTCAAGGGGGTTTGGATATTTTAGAGGGTTTTCTAACAGCAAGATGTGAAAAGATACTTAAGAATGTATATAATAGTGTCCCAATTTCATACGAATAATGAAGTCTGAAGGCAAGAATAACATGAGGATTATGAAAACTGGAGAGGAAAGCAAGAAAATATTTTTAAAAACCTGCGCTGGGAGTAGAATATGCAGATGCTATAGTGTTAGAAGAAATGACGGTGAAAAAGCTGATGTTGTCATGACACAAGAGATGATTGTGGAAAAGCAGCCTCACCCCAAGTCAGAGAGAGTCTCATGACGCTCAGAAGTGTAGATCAACATGGTTTAGTTAAGAGAAGAGGATGGGAGCGCCAGTTTTAGGTTATGAAAGGAGGCGACATCAAAGACCAGACAGGGATATAGGTGACAATGGTTATTATGGTGGTAAGGTGACATGGATTTTCAGGAGATAAATTTTCTAGGAGCATTTAATGAAAGAAGCTGACCAGCTCTTGTTACCTTCTAAATTGTGATGTGCGTATGAGAAATCTTGTTGGGACCTTATGACGACTCCCAGCTGCTGCAACTTTGCTTCCTATTTCAAAAAGTCATCTACTCCAAAACCACGTCAGTACAGTTAACCAGCAAGTTTAGGAAATGGAATAATCTGGGAAACAAATGATGGAGCTATTGCCCCCTTGACCTTCCGCCATTCATAATTCTCTCCCTTCTGTAAAATCAAGCCAAAATACATTGTTGACCGTGTTACCATTTTATTTATCTCATTCAAACTTCTCAGGTAAATTTTCAGGACCTCACCCCAGGTTCCTCCCCATTTTCCTTTCTTGATTGTTCAAGGCCAAGTCTAAGCTCACCCTGCCTCCTTCTTGCTTGGACCTCACTGTACTCTCCTATTTCTTTTTCCGTGTCAGCACTTTACAACAGCATCTTATTTCCATGCAGTTTTATTCTCCAAGTGCCTGTTACATTATTTAGGAGCATGTTTGTGATGGTATGTCATCTTCATAGATTTCTCACCTACGTTGTAAAATCATGGTGCACAGCGTGGCAAGTTTTTGGTACCCTAGAGTTACCTACCACAGTGCTAGGCAAGTACCTAATTCTCAATGAAGAGCCTGTAAAATGAGTGAAATAATGCTTATATCATGAGGTTGTGACTAGGTTTAAATCAAGTTATATGAGGAAGGGAACTGGTCTGCTCCTTAAAACAGTCATCATTGAACAAATATTTGTCTCCCCTGTGCCTGTGCTTTTGCTCCTCAAAATCCTAACTACTAGAATAAACTTAAATTGTACATAACTACATGTAAAACTAAAGAGAGAGAGAGAGAGAGAGAGAGAGAGAGAGAGAGAGAAACTGATTCTGATCTTGAAAGTCAAGAAAGCCATGAGGAGTAGGTTATGTTAACATTAACTGCCAGTGTCCTCCTTGAGACTTTTGGTGGGGGAAGTTGGAGGCACTTGCAAGACTAGTTTCAACTTCTTGAGACCCACTCCTGATTTACTTTTGTCATAATAGTGATTCTTGCATGTAATATCTTTCATTGTATCTAAAGTATCTTTTCTGAATATTTAAAAACAATATCTGTATACAAGGCTTGGTTCATAGTTATTGGTGGTTTGCAGTGGGAGCAAAATGTGTGAGTCTGTGTTGGCCATGACTAGGTAGCTTTAGTGGTTATGGTGGTAGTGACATCACATGAAAGTAGATAACTCAGTGTATCAGCAACTTACATTAAAGGAAGAACAGTTTATGGATATTAAAACAAAAAGATATTTTTGTTTTACAGACTTTATACAGCCCTTCTCACCCTTTCTCACCCTTTCTCATTTCTACACCAATCTCGGTCAACCATTTTTTCCCTTTCATTCACTAGATACCTAATTTATTTCTAACTGCAGTAAAACATCACTTTAAAACAAATGTGAAATGAAATCTAGCTTACACTACTATCTAGCCAGTTACTAATTAAAAGGAAATATTTTTGAAAAAAAATCTTTCTCCCTAATTGTAGTATTCAATACATTTTCATTTCTATCCCTTTGTTTTCTGTTCCCTGCAAGTTTCCCTTATTCTTTTGATTATAATACAGCTCTTTAAAAAGCAAAACAGAAAAGCAGGACAGGTCAACAGAGGTAGACATAAACAACCAACCATCATTTAGGACAGAATAAAATCAATATTATAATCAGTGCAGAGGTTTGTGGAAAGTCAGAGGAAGGCTTCGTTATCAGGGTAGCTTTCAGTGAATAGATAACATCTTGACCGTAAGCAACAGGCAAGATTTCATGCACGGTGGAAATAATAGTGTCCCCCAGGCCTCAGAAAGGGCCCAAGAGTGTGAGAGTGCTTGGATGTGTAAGAAAGCAGAAAAGAACATGTCTTGCTGTGGGAGCTGTCATTCAGCGATTGTTAGAGAATGGAGAGTGTGGGTATAGCGGAAAGCGAGGCTGGGGCTTGGGGTGCAGGTTGGGGCCATATTGTTAGCACCTTGTATAATAAGCTAAAAAGTTTGGAGTTCATTCTTCAGTTACAGATGAGGAGTTAGCCTTTGTAGGGCAAGAGAAGCATAATT